GAGAAGATGGCGAAAATGTGAACCCAGAAGAGTACAGCAGCCGACTCCCTTCCACAGCCTCGAAGGTCGGCAACAGCTCCTGAGAGCACTGACGTAGGCATTGTGTGCTGAAGGAGTAACACAAATCGGAACATCTTGTCATCAGCAGGAAGGAACCCAAGTTTGTCTGCTAATGTCACTATTCCAAGTCTTACTGGTGGCACCAAACACCAACCGTCCAAATATAATTGCCGCTGTTGTCTTGAAACCGAGTTTTGAACTTCCTGGTCCTGAAATTTATGCAAAGAACCAATAAGTTCCATATGATGGACTAAAACAAAGTCAGTATGAAAAGAGAGCAGCCACCCTACCGTTTATGAGATTCCCCCCAAGTGCCAGCAAAATACACAGTATCATGGCGTCCCTGATAGCCAAAGGTTTTACAACTATTAACTCATTGATTCACACCTGTTTCCCATAAGACACATAACGAGTGCACTTACCCAAGAATCATGCAGCTGTCTGTGAAGAAGAAAAGAGGTGCACCATTTGTGAATATCAACTTCTTTGTGAATGGTATTGAACCAAGTATCATGGCAAGGATCTGAAGTAAACAAAACAGTCTAGTTTAGTCACATGGCAAGGTCTCTTGTTCATCAATACAAGAGAATAGAACAGACGAGATACTTACCGAAGCAACTATTGCAGGTTTGACAATTTGCTTCAGTTTGAACTTCTCAGAGGAAAACAAAGATCTGTGCAATCTGCATCACGGAACAAAGTATACAAATTCGTAAGGACCGGCTTTATATCAGGTACAGTACTCCTGAATCATAAAATCAAAATCCATAATTGCATTTTCACCTTGTTTTTCCTTGAATCCCCTCTTCCTCTAGGTTCCGGGTTTTGTACAGGCAGGCGAACTTGAGGAGACGAAATTTCCTTGGGAGTAAGCAAGGGGACTTGCTCTGGAGCAACATCTTGTGGAAGGTTTTTCAAAGGAAGATCTCCTCTTCAGCATCAAACCCTTCCGGAGGAGGAAGTACACATATGTGTAGAGGATGATGGCACCAACCTGACATAAAAGAAAGTAAACCCCATGGTTAATTGAAGTCCCTGAGAGAAACCACAAGAGGGAACCGAAACAATATCTAACTCCAAAAACACTGATGACAAATAGTAGAGTGGAACTAGAGATCCGAGTTTCAATGCGGCTGGCTACTCTAGTCATACATCTAGCTCCTCTTCATCAAAACAGAGAGTAAAGCCTGAGCATCTATAATAGCTTAGATGGTATATTATAGGCATGGAGAAGGTTTAAAGTGAGGAAAAAAGCATACCCATTGGCCAAAGGAGATATAAGCAGTGCCATCAATGGTACATTTTTCGGAGTCACCAAAAGGGTTGGTTGTTGGTGTCCCTACATAGAGCCAGCCGCTAGTA